GCAAAGTAATGTCTCTGCTTTTTAATATGCTCTCTAGGTTGGTCATAACTTTTCTTCCAAGGAGCAAGTGTCTTTTAATTTCATGACTGCAGTCACTGTCTGCAGTGATTTTGGGTACTTTGAGTATTGATTTTAATATTCAACAAATATTAAATTTAATATTAAATAAATTGTTGCACAGTGGTGATTGTATAATAAATATTAAATGAGAATGTGAGTCATCTTATGTGTAAAAGGATTTAATGTTTATAAAACATAGGCTAATAATTTTTCTTAATTATGCACAGATATCTGACAAATTTGGTTATTCTTTTTAATGTGCAGATGAACAGGAGACTGAAGATATGACAGAAGAATGTAAAGAATCTTAAACACTGACTTGCTGGGTTGTGCTTCTAAGAGAGTTGGTAAATTAAGTTAAACCACATTTTTTTCCAAATTCTTTTAATTCACTGAATGCATTATAGAGACCATTCCTCAAATGACGATTTTTATGTTTAGATTCTCTCTTTCTGGATCATATTTTTTGGATATTTTTGAGACTTGTGGTAAATTGCTCACTGGTTTTTCCTCATTGAAATTCCCAGGAAAGTTGTTTTCTATTGCATTATAGAAACCAACATTTTATGTATGTGTGCTATGGTAAAACTAGTTCAAGTTTTATGATAGTTTTGTATTTGATATTACACATTACTACTTTATTGGGATTTAGACAGGTTTGTTGACCATAACTTGTAGTTTTGCCCTGATTTCCCTTCTTTCCTCCTCTCTAATGCCTGTTAAGTAAAGTATAGCTTGCTGTGAAGAGAAATGAATTTTCCCAACAAAACAATGTTAGGCTATCCTTGCTATCTTATTAGTAGTGGTACTTTTCATAAGCAGAAGTTTGACGAATTATTTCATATATGACATTTAGTTTGTTATCTTCTTTCAGAGTTTCCCTTTTAGAGTTCAGCAAATAAAGATCAGCTGGTTTTAAAAGAGCTGTGCTACTATTTTAAGAGAGAGGGTTTATTAGTTACAAGTCAGTAACCTGAATTTATGAGAACCTTTTATGTCTTTTCCAAACCCATGTGCTTCTGGTGTTTGATTGATATGTGTGTGTGTGTGAGAGAGAGAGAGAGAGAGAGAGCGAGAGAGAGGGAGATAGATGGCGAGGAGATAGTCTATGGCTTTATAGTATATTTCTCCAAATGGTATTTGTTGCATAGTGGACCTTTATGTTACAAAAGTTTAACAGAGGGTAGTAAAACAGAATGACTAAGTAAGTAATTTTACCTTTGCAAGGAAGGAGACCCTTCCATAGCATGTAAACTGAAGGTACCTACCTCTAACAAGGAACTGGCAAGCTGAATTTGTATAATATACTCAACATGAAGGCTCCAAATTAAATGAAAGATTACCTTGATAAGAAAGAAAGTGTTCTTTAAAAAGCAGTGTTATTAAGTTTCTCTCTAGACCTGAGAATTTGCCCCCAGAAAAGGTAGATAAAAAGAATGAAAGAGCAAGAGCTAACTCATTTCAGGAATAAATTTAGGATCTTAAAATTTGAGGTTTTTCTATTTATGACTCCTCAAGAAAACTACTGGCACCACCTTTATTGTAAATTCCCATAGGACCTAGAGTTTATTGCCCTTCAGTCCAGCTCTGAAACACATGACAATAAACTCCTATAGGAGAGAGCTATCACCCCGATGGCCTAGTTTTAATTTTTAACAAGTCCTTTAGTTCAGTGCAGTCTGCTTCAAAGGTTGGTCTTGTAGTGCATATGGAGCATGCCTGGTAAGAAAGCTCCAGTTCCCAGTTTCTTCTGTCCCATCCTGACACTATCAGTTACTTTTGTTCTGTTCCTTAAAAGTGAATTACAATTCTCTCCCAAGACTTCATATGCGGAGCTGCTCTGAGAATGAATGATGTCATGTCAAAGAATATTTCTTTCAAATCAGTTTTCCAAAGTTTATAACCAACAACTTCCAGTTCCTGACTCTTCACCTAGATGCCATAATGTGATTTGGCAATTTATACTCATATATGACTATGCAATTCATACTTACATATGTTTCTAGAATGAGAGAGAAAAGTCAGGGGAAATAAGATTCTGTCCCACTCCGCCTGTCCTTTTTGTGAGACCTTTAATCTACTCATAGAATTTTTTATTCTAAAGTTTTTAAAAATTCTTTTTAAAACTAAAAACTGGCCCGTAGTCTACATTCATGGTTACCGCACCTGAAGCTCAGGTTCTGCTCATTGTAAGACTTTGGCCTTCTCTTCACAAAATAAGTGGATATTTTACGTGTGTGTGTGTGTGTGTGTGTGTGTGTGTGTGTGTATTTATTTATTTTAGGATTTATTCCCAATTCTACCTCGCTTAACTCATCTTTCTGACCAAAGGCATAGTCATTCTCCAAAATGTGGTATCTATAGAATTTGACCCAACTTTTCAAGGACAATTCACCCTTCATTAATGTTTCTAAAGCTTCTTCACAGCATGCAATTGTTGCCTGCCTAGTGTCCTCATTCATGGGTCAGAAGATGTAGCTGTATGTGCTTCACTCCTGTTTTCCTTTTTGTTTTCAGGAACAGAACTGGGCTTTGAAAAGGATTCAGTAAATGACATTTAGTGACATTAGTAAAATATAAACCTATATCCTTTTGAGTCCCACATCTTGTGGGAGTGGTCATTTCTTATTGCTTGTTTTTAGTATGACAGGCTAATTTGTTTTGTTCTTTTATCCCACAAATGCAGCAAATACGTCATTTAAGCAATTCAGTCTTCTTAAATTGTATAGGGACTGTGAATGTTACTATTACTGTGATTTCTTTTTGTGTGTGTTCTATTGGTTTAAGGATAGAATTTACTCATACCTCATAACATAAGGCCAGAAAACAAACAAACATGGATACAGTAAGTATAAATATAAATTTCCATATGATTTATTGTTGTTCCTTGTACATAAGAAACAGTAATATACAACTTACACTGCTTTAGAATGTAAAATGGATAAAAATGTGTACAAAAAAGCACATTCCTAGAAAAGTATTGGCAAATAGTAAAAACAGGGAGGAGGGTAACAAGCAAAAAACAAATCAACAAAACAAAAAAACAAACAATTCTTCAATTCAGTGTGCAAACATTTTATAAAAATAGAAATACTAACTCTACAGGCAGTATTTCCTGATAAATTATTTAAATAGCATATCTACACAATCTGAGATATCTATTCCAAAGGCAATGAGAAAATAATTTATAAAAATAAAGCAACGGTATACAAGATGATAGAAAAAAACAACTTTCAGAAAATGTATTTAACATTTCAATGCTATTTCCTTATTGGGAATACTTTTCTGCAAAGAATTTTTATACTATGTACAACATTGATTTTTTTTTTTTTAGGTACTACAGTAGCTTTAAGTTTGTTAGACACTTAAACTCTTTCTGTTTGATCCCAAAATTCTTTACTCAGTCACACAACAAATGAGGTAATATTTGTATACAAGTTTCACCTTTGTCATTTTTTTCTTTTGGAAAAAGGCAAAAATAATAAATGTAGATACTTTTCATCTCCCTGGAAATAGGCACAAGGGATGGGATAAGACAGTATTAATGGCCTCTTGGCTTTCTTTGCAAACTAAAAACACTTGCAAATGGACAACCAAGTAATTCCACTTGGGAAAAAAAAAGGAAAAAAGAATAATTCCAAATCATTCGGTCTAAGCACAAAGTGAAGAGCAGCTTGCTATGCTGGTTTCCTTGTGCCATTCCTGTGAAAGATTTGCTGATCAATCTCAACTACCTGCTGTCAAACACTTTCCATATGAAACCTAGATTCCAGGTAGAACAGAGTTAATAAATAATCTGTATTTACAATCTTACAGTCATAATGACTTGTAGCAAAGATGATATGGATAGTCCTTACGCTTCTTCCTGTTCCATGAATAGTCTTTCAGACAGATCCCCCAGAATAAGTAAAAAATAAATAGTTTACATTGTAAAGTGTTTGTTTAAAACACCAAAAACTACAGTCCAAAAGAGACAACTGGAAAACTCCATGATACTCAGGAAAAAAGAGAGAAAAGGAATGTCTTAGTTGATAATTTTGTGCCTTTCTAACCATAAAAATACAAGCACGGGCTGCCTATCCCTTAAGAGGCAGCCTGGTGCTCACTGAGATGGTAGGTTTTCCTATTTTCCTGCTACATCTGCAGAAGCTACATCTGGAACACAACTGACAGTTTCAATAGAACCAAGCTGTGGCAGCCAGCACTGCCTTGTGTTGGTTTAACTCCGACTCCCTATTCTGGTCACTACAGGTAATGTGTTAAGGGGTGGAAATCTGGGAGGAAGTCCAGAAGCCAGTCTTTTCCTTCCTTCCCCACTCCTATTTAAGTGCCTATTTATGTGGGTTAATCAGCTAACACCGGTCAGCATCATGAAATCCAGCAATAGTCTTTCAATCCCCTGAAAATGATTTAGTACCAAAAATGTAACAGTTCCTCCATATTTTCTTCATACAATCGTCTCTTGGGTATGCATCCTCCCCTTTGGGCTTTGGCCCCCCGCCCCCCCATTCCAGAGGGAGTAGGTCAGGGCTGGTTTTGTCAATTCTAGTGAGTCCTCCCTTCTCTCACATGCCTGAAAACATTTTGGAGTCCACTGCTCAGAGCTGGCCTCACAGTCGCATTCTGCTCTGACAAAAGCAGAGTGGGACAGGCACCTTCCAACCAAAGCATGTGGATGCTTTTGCTTTTGCAAAAGCCAACCAAATTCATTGTTTGTCTCCTTGGAAGATTCTTCTCAGTCAGAGGCTGAATGCAGGGTCTGATTTGGAAAACTGCATTTTCTTGAGGCAAGTCACATGTTCTAGGAGTCCACACTCATGCAAGCAGAGAGCAAAGGCAGGCAGCAAGGAGCAATCCTGGGGGTTTTCTAAAGCCCGTGGTTCCAGAAGGTGCAATACCAGCATTGGTTATGATCAGTCTTTTGATCAACAGTTTGATGATTAGGAATCTGTGAAGTAAATATATAAACACATAAATACATAAACTAATTCACTGAGGCACTGTCATCTTAATATCCACTAATACATTAACAACCTTGGCACAGCTCTACTTTTATAATGGCAAAAATATATTTTATGATTGGCAGTTTATAAAATTACAATTAATGTGTTTGAACACTGTTGCTGGGTGTTTGATATAGCATAACCTTCCAGAACTTATGCTCTGCTTTCTAAGGCTTTCATTATTTCATTTTTATCACTGTGCCTTTAACAGCAAGATAGAAATAACCCTGTGTCTTACACAGCCTTTAAATCAGCCTCTTGCATGACTGGCATTCTTGATACTCTAGGGATTCCACCTGTATATTCACTGTCATTTTGCTCCTACCTCTGCATTCATATTTCAGGTCGGAGAAGAACACCATTTCTTGAGAGAAGACGAACAAGCCTAGCCTGCCACCAGCATAGGTTTTGTCATAGATGGGTCCTGAGTCAGCCATGATCTTCTTCCCTTCATACATCACCACTCTGCAGGGAAAAGGAAATCACATTAGTGCCACCCTTACTTTTGATCTTCTCCTTGCGTGTCAATATGACTTCAGGGACGTTTAATCAGAGCAGTCTTACCTGATGAAACCTGTCTTTGGCCTGTGGCTCAGACGCCATCTGTAGGCGGTGAAATCTTTCCAGCCAATGTGACGAGGGTCATGCCACAGTGTGCGCACCTGGAGGAAAAGGAAAAGCAAGGGTTGAAACAGCTTCATTATGAAATTTATGTTAGATTCCATGAAATGGAATGGTACTTGAAATGGCAACTGAAAGGTACTGAGTTGACCTAAATTAGAGGGCTGCAATGTAGGATTTTTTCCCAAGGGCTTTATCATTGGCTATGTAACCGTGAATGTACATATCAGCAAAGAGAAGGGACGTTGACATTTTTGTTTGTTTGAAGAGGCTAAAACAAACACTTTTGATCTGAAGTGAGCTACCCTCTCAGATGCTAGGATGGTTTTTACAATGCGGAGCTTAATGCTACAGTTGGTGATGCTGGGAACTTGATGTCTAGACTCCCTGGTAGGGGGCTTGGCCAAACAGAGCATCCCTTCCCCTCCTGCAGGGCGTTGTTCTCACCTGGCCAGGGGTGTTTCCTGTGTGCCACAGTGCATTCCGCAGGTGCTCGCCAGGCCCTGTGGTGGAGTTCACAACCTTCACAGAAAGTCCAGAGTATCCCTGAGCCCTCGTGGGGTTGGTGTCCCAGTAGGATTGAGTGACTTGCTTCCACATCACAACATAGAAGCGGCTGCTGGACTGGTAGCCAAACACAAAGCCGGCATAGTCGTCATCCCTCTCAGTGTTGATGAAGAAGGTGCCGCTGAAGTCCACAGCATTAAATTCGTCATAACCTGGAAGAGGAGGCCACACCCAGGTTAAAACCTGCAGCCTTCCGGAGGTTCTCTGTCACGTTCCCAGCCATTTTTAGCACTCATGGGGACACATGCAACTGCCTGCTTTTACATTTGCTTCTTTCCCCTTGTACACACTGGCCTTTCGTTTGAAGAACTCTCTACTCACCTACAGCAAGTCCAGGGTCACAGTTGACAGTCTGGACGAGTTCTTTACCCTGATGGCGTACAACCCAGTTAGGGTCGTTCTGGGATGTCCCTTTGGGATCTAGAGGAATCATCTGGAATCGGCGGAAATCAGTCTCACTGATATCAACATTTTCGGGACAGATGTCATCAATATCTGGCACCTTGTCCTGGTCAAAATCATCTTTGCAAGCATCACCTCGACCATCACCTAAGGGCAAAAAGGGAAGAGTTCAGTGAAATTCCAAAATACCATTACTGGTGCCAGAAATTCACTGTCTTATCAAAGTTAACATTTAGTCTCTTCATCCTCAAATGTATTCAGCTTTGTTTTTATTTCCTCAATCCAGACAGCCATGGTTTCAGTTACTCTCTTTAAAAGCGGCTCCAGTGACTCACCGTCAGAGTCCTTCTGGTCAGGATTGGGCACCAGCCTGCAGTTGTCCCGGTCATCAGGAATGCCATCATTGTCGTCATCATGGTCGCAGGCATCTCCTTTGCCATCCTTGTCATGGTCAGCCTGGTTGGCATTGGGCACGTAGGGACAGTTGTCCAGGTTGTTCTGGTGGCCGTCTTCATCAATATCCTGATTGTTGTCACAGGTGTCTCCAATGCGGTCTGAGTCAGAGTCAAGCTGAAAGAGACAGAAGGTAAATTGGAACGTGAATCATTGATGCTAAAGAAAACTTACGGAGATTCTCCAGTGTCTGATAAGACCAGTGAGGTTTCACATCTATATTAACAAATCTTACATGTTTTATTCTTGATCCTTCTTTGTATTAGACAGTTTTTAAAGGGATATTTGAGAGTTCTTTTAAAATAGAAAACTTTCTAAATAAAATTAAATAGAAAGCATCATTTCATCACTAAGGACAGAATGCCATATTAACTACTTATATCTTAATGATGAATTGAATGCTCTGGGTACAATTTATGTTTTATTCAAATTTTCAATTAGGAAATTGTTGACACATCAACTTCTACTCCAAGTCATTAAATCATGGCAACACGGCACTGCTTTTCATACAGTGGGATAAATCATTTTCTTCTCTTTTAGGTATTTGGTTTTACACATCTAGCCCATAAGGATTGTCCAGTGTTGGCTTAGGTAAAGCCAAAATTCTAATTTTTTTCAAAACCATATTTATCAGAGTACCTTTTTTGCATTATTCAGTACATATGGAATGCCTACAGATTATCTATACACAAATTGCAATTTTGCTTGCCAGTATTTATGCTCTTTGCCATTAAGATTTTTACATGATTCATTAATTGTTATAGATTTTATTATTATCTGAAGAACCAACACCTTATCCAGGGAGGTTAAATGGCATTGAAGTTTAATTTACAGTAAGACTCAAATTCAAAACAGATGACTCTCAATGGCATTTGATCAAGAATGCTATCCCAAATCATTCATGCTTTCCCCTATTGCCCCAAAGCAATTCATCCTGGTGCTTTTTGTTTTAGAGAAAGTCATAAGAGCAAATATTAGGAGAGTTTCTGGATTTCTCCACAAATTATCTGTATTTATCATTTCTTGAATCTTTTAAAAATATTTGCATTTACAAAAAGGTGGTTTCTAAATTTCCAGAAAAATGGCTTTTAGGGGGAAAAAAGGTCTTAATTTTCACACTGAGAAAATAATGATGAACAATTACACCAGAAAAGAAACACCTTCAGACATGGAACTTGTTCTGGCTATGTCTGTTTGCAGCACGCCCCAGCAATGGTACAGAATTATCTGTTTGCAATGCCAAAACACTTAAAGAATGACAAAGAAACAGGGATTTCTCCAGTTTGGAGAAGTATTTTTAGTTTGATTTTCTTGCAGTCAGATTATATCATGAGCCATGAAAATGGCTGTGTATCTTGCTTAGGGATATTTTCTTCCATCTCTTAGTTTCAAACATGATTAATATTCCTGTACAGTTGTCAGTAGCAGATTTCTGCTTTGTATAATTTATCTTAACAATGGTAGATTCCATTGAGCAAATCATGTGGGCTTCTTATAGAGGATAAGATTGAAGTTACAAGATTGTCATGCTAAAGACCTATGGAACTCTGCAAAGAGCTTAGGTCAGGCAAGCGGTTCACATGAAAATGTAATTGGCTATGAGATCACTGATAGCCATGGTAATGAAAGTGTTTGAACTTAAACTCTTCTATTTTTTTTAAAGAGGCTTAGAAAGGGATATTCTAACAGTTTACTGAAAGATTATGAAAGGAATCTACCTACCTGGTCTGGATTGTGTTCCAGGGGGCAGTTGTCACACTGATCACCAACCCCATCCATGTCAGTGTCTTTCTGGTCCACATTGTAGACATACTGGCAGTTGTCCCGTTCATTGAGGATACCTGCAGAGAACATGGGACAGGTAAGAGCTGGAATCTTCAGCCTCAGCTGTTTCAACCAGACTGCACACTAACAGCCAGCGCTGTTCAAGGTTGAGAGCTGAATGCCGTCACAGCTGCCTACGGGCTAGCTGGAATCAGGGAGCGCCTTACCATCGCCATCAATGTCAGCTGCGCAGGCGTCTCCTTCCCCATTGTTATCTGTGTCAGCCTGGTCTGGGTTGTGGTTGTAGGGGCAGTTGTCACAGCGGTCTCCCACGTCATCTCTGTCATAGTCATACTGAGCTGGGTTGTAATGGAATGGACAGTTGTCCTGCCAAGAGAAGAAGCAGAACATTGTACAACTTGATCCATGAAACTAGCCTCAAATCGCATGCATAATATATATATATATGTGAAAATATATATATATTTTATATATATAAAATATATATATGTGAAAATCTGCAACAAGCATTTTCTACTTCGTGGATATACTAATTCCCCTGTAAACTGATCACTGCAAAAGTTAAAAGCCAGGACATAATGAATGAAAAATGAATTTCTGTTGGTTATGAGCCAGTGAGATGTAAATGGAAACTCATCTCCACTCTCAGTGCATTCAGGGAAAACCTTACTGTGACCTAGAGAAGACATTTGAAACCAATATGGGGAGCAAAGTGTCATTTGTTCACACAGTGTAACTTTTTGTTCCAACTAGGGGAAGGGCAGGCTGTGATGAAAAACAAAACCCTCTAAAAATTCTCTTGGCAACACCTCTATCTGAAAACTACAGAATCACAATGAATAATTTCTGATGAACTAGATATCAGTAATTTTGTTGAATCTTAAGGGTTACAGGCTGTTGCTGAACACAAAAGCTGAAAGAGGAATGGAAAACAATTTTACCCTGTCATCTGGAATCTTGTCATTGTCATCATCATCATCACAGGCATCACCGATTCCATCCTTGTCATAGTCTTCCTGCCCTGAGTTGGGAAGGTTGGGGCAATTATCCTGGAAAGAGAAGACAGTGCAGCTGCAGTTTGCAAGCCTTTTGCTCAGCTCATGCACTAGAGCATGCACCGAGACACTGTAGACAGAACTGAATGCTGCTCTGTGACAGCAAGTATTTTCAATGGGAAGACAAAAAAGTTTGCTTGGAAGATACACACACATAAATACTTTGTATAAATGCTCTAAGCTTTATATATACTGGGAACATGGGTCATGCTCTGCTGGCTTTTGGTAGAGAAGTGAACTTTTTTTGGACAGCATAATCGACTGTGGAACACAACTGCCCAGAGGGCCTGCCCCATACATGTTCTTGGCACCAAGTGATTTAATAAGAATTAGTGTTCCTCTGCCTTTGGATGATTTAATCTTTCAGTTCTATTTCTAAAGTTTAAGCATTTAAAATTGTTCAGCTCATTCCCCTGATAAGGGTTTTCAGGAGGCAGGTGAGGGCAGGGCTACCTTTTTGCAGTGGTAAGTTGCATTGGCAACGCACACCAGGTCCTCGTTGGGCCAGCCATCCAAGTCCGTGTCCTCCCCACAGATGATGCCGTTGCCGGCGTAGCCAGGCTTGCACTCGCAGCGGTACATGGGGTCGCTGTAGTGGCCCAGGTAGTTGCACTTGGCGTTCTTGTTGCAGTCGTGTGTCCCGTCTGTGCAGGGGTTTCGGGGCTTGCATACCTGAGGGTACAACATTCTGATGTTAAGGCAAAGCCTTGGAGGGTCCCCAGCTCCCCACTGCCTCTGGACAGAGATCCACAGGAAGAGTGCGAGTCCTCCCCATCCTCCCCTGGGAATGTCGATGCCAGGTTATAGGCTGACATGGCTTTATGTGTGTTTTCCTTGAACTTGCACATCACCCTGGCACTTACAAGTCCATCTGCTCACAACTTACTCCAGCATGGTCAAATGTGATGGACCAATTTTCTCTGCTGGATGAACAATTCATTTTCTAGTACTGTTTCTAAAAGCTAGATTGACACTCACCCCGTTCCTCATTTTCCTTGAAGGGTGTGAGATGACATTCCCCCCTTTTGTGGCTAGCTCAGCCAAGGACACCCTCCCTCACTCCCATCTACTAGTCCCCTCTGCTCTACCTGTTTGTTGGCGGTGGCGTGTTCCACGCCCCGGCCGAAGGGCTGAGAGCCAGTGAAGCGCGGTGGGCAGGGCAGGCAGTTGTAGCCAGGGTCTGTGTTCTCACACCTGTGCTCTCCATTGTGGTTGAAGCAGGCATCAGGGACTTCTTTGCACTGTGGAAGAAACAGGTTTGTTCATGTTTAGAGAACACTGTCACAAGAAATGACCAAGGCAGATGAGGTGCTTTCCCAGGTCTGGTAGCTCCCAGCTGCTCACCTCATCAACATCTTTGCACGCGACGCCATCTCCACTGTAGCCTGGGGGACAGGCACCACACTTCCAGCTGCCATCAGGGTAGCTGGTACACTGGACACCAGCAAAGCAGGGATTGGACAGGCATCCATCTGAGATAAGAGTGACAGGCAAACGTGGGTCTCAGCTGCTGTTACTGCCACTCTGGTCACTTAAATGGGGGTGTGATATTGTAGGGTCTGTGTAACTGCTGACTTTTGAGATTATGCTGTCCATCTGGCATTTTAATCAAACCACTCAGGGCCATCCAAACTGAACCCCCATGAATGCTGAGCATGCCATTAAGTGGTTTTGTCCTGGGCTGCCTGGGCTGCGTGGCTTACCAATGGGACAGTCCTGCTTGTTGCAGATCTGGTTTTCTGTCACATCACCAATGCAGTCCTTGCCTCCAAACTGGGGTGTGGGGTTGTTGCAGAGCCGGCTACGTTTCTGTACCCCTCCTCCACAGGTGACAGAACAGATGTCCCATGGTGACCAGGGTCCCCAGCCTCCATTGACTGTAAGAAAATGAACCACAGGCCAAAGCTAAGACCAGTTTTCAAACACTTTACCTTCACAGGAGACTCTCCTGTGTTCAAGAAACCTCCATGACCCTGACACATGGTAAGGATGTCTGGGAAAAGAGTCTGGAAATGGTTCTATCTGTCGTTAGAAGAAGCTACTGTGCCCGGCAGGACTGTGCCTCTGTTTGTTTCTCTAGGAAGCAGACTTCCCCGATCCGTGACCCATGGATGCCAGGCAGCCAGCGGGGTGGAGCTGCCAGCATCATGCCGGATGATGCATGCACTTACTGGGGCAGGCGTCTTTCTGGCAGGCTTTGGTCTCCCGGGCCTTGCCCTCACATGGCTTCCCATTCATCTGGGGGCTGGGAGAGTTGCAGAGCCGGATCCTTGTGATCACACCGTCTCCACATGTTACAGAACAAGACGACCAGGGGGACCAGTGGCTCCAGCCGCCATCCTGTTTAACTAAAGGACAAACCTGATGGTTATATGGTGTTTCCCACAAGCCAAGCTCGACGTTAACACTTTAAATGCATCCTCTAAACCAAATCTTCAAACTCATCGAACTAAAAATCTTTAAACTATTTTTACCCCCAATTTACAGATAAGGAAAGAGCCTCAGAGAGGGTAAGCTGTGTTCAAGGGTGCACAGATAAGGCAGAGAACTGGGATTAGATCAGAGCCTAGAACCTGTGACCTCAACCTCTGTGCTCTGGAGTTGCTGTTGGTGACAACAAGGACAAGTCAGGTTTCCACATCCCCAAGTGGCCACACTTACATCTCTTATCACACTCCTGGATGTGGCAGGTCCGTGTCTGCACAGAGGAGCCCTCGCATCTGTTGTTGAGGCTGTCGCAGGAGCGGCCACGCTGCTGGATTCCATTGCCACAGGTCACAGAGCAAGAGGTCCACTCAGACCATGGGGACCAGCCATCGTCTGCAGAGTCGCTGGCTGCTGAGCAAATGCGTGCATTTAGTGTGTTATCATGAAAACAAGCTACTCTTTGGGCTGCTCTGTTCAGGACTTTCTTCCCATGCCAGAGAGTGAAAAGCAATATATTTGTTAGGCCAGTGGCCAAGTGGTCATTCTATGCACAGCTTGGGTAATTGCATGCTTTGCCTGGGTCGGTACAGCTGAACCTTTCCCCCACATATGTTTCTAGTCATCCTCGCCTCCTTCCTCCAGTCTGCATTTCAAATGAGTTTCCCTTTTATGACTTAAGATGTCTTGGTAGGCATTTCCAGCCCCAGGCTTCCAAGAATACTTGGGTTTTAGGCAACTTATAGGAGTCACTTCTGACTTTCAGGAGAGCCAGAGACCCACGTGTTTGGCAGATGAATCTGAAGGCAGCGGAGCTGCTGTTGGCTCTGGCCCTGGATCAGTCATGAGGTCAGTGAGAGGGTTGCTCCTCTCACCCTAGCATTTGGGGCCTTTTCTGCACATATTTTCATAAGAGGGAAGTGTGTTTATTTACCATCTGCCCAGGCGCCATGACTACAATCACGTCCTGTATCCGACAGGAGACAGAGAACTTGTTTTCTCTTGCCATCAGTTGGAAGTTTTCCTAGTAATTCCTGACTCAAAATTCAGCGCTCCGCTAGCCCCTAGCTAGCCTTGTTCCCTTTAACCCACATCTGAAGTGAATGTTGGACAGAAAGCAGTGTACAAATGATTATGACAGTTCCAATGTCACTGACATCTCTGAAGGGAACCGGTTCTTCTGAGCTGTGATCCGTGTGTGTAGGAAACGGGGGGTGTGGGGCTGTGGACATGAAGGGTGAGTGCTACTTTCCTGTTTTATGCATCTTAGTTGTGATAAATCATTTCTATGACTTGTACTTACTACAGTGTCTCAGCAAAGTGATTATACTGGCAGCAAAACCCAGGGACTGGGTACCATAAAACAATACAATTTCTTATGGAGCCCTGAGACTCAAACTACTATTTTTTCTCAGGTCTCCTATGCCTGTTGATAAAATGGGTAGAACTTTCAGGCCCAGTTAAGTCCATCAATTTCTCCGGTGAGCAGATTTTTCCTGACTCTAGGCCATAGGTCAGATTATAAATCCAGTCAACTTAAAGCTATTGCTGCTACCAATTCATCTCTTCTTTTCTCAAAGGACAGAATCATATTCAGTAAACTATACTAAGGTTATTGTCTACACCATAATCCAGGGCGGGTAATTAAGTTTAGTCATAATGGCATTTTTTTGGCTCTATATAGCAGACAAGCCATCAGTTAGCCAGATGCTGCCCCAAGAAACTGAATGAAAACATGTGACAGAGATGGGACGGGTATTCTAGCATTATTTACAATTGATCCAGTCACTGAAGCATGGTTATACAATTTTAGGGACTTACGCCAGCACCGTGGGCAGCATTCTCCATCAGGAACTGTGGCGTTGGAGCAGGGCATGATGGGACAGGACACTTTTTTGCAGATGGTAACCGAGTTCTGCAGGGCAACAGTGAAGGAGAAATGAGTACTAAGCATATTGCAAGCAGAAGCTTACATAAGGAAACGTTTCAATTACAAGTGGAAATGTCGTCTGGGCTATAAATGCTCTGGTGGAATGATTTTAATAAAAGATCTGCCTGTCTTTTGGCAGCCACCAGTACTGTAGAGACAGTTCTAGTGCTGGCTGTTTGTTACTTCAACCCTCTAGAATTCTTCTCAATTGCCACTTAGTCACTTCTTCATGCACAGAACAGCATGAATTTATGCAGTTGGAACCACCTAATATCATGAGTCAGATCTGTTACTCTGTATCTAAAATCAAACTCCTGAAACTCAGCCAGGACTTTAAAATTTTTAAATTACATCTTTATGGGGAAAAGAAGATCAATGAGCATCTTACTTTCTCATATATAAATATGGCTTTATATAATATTGGACAAGAATGGGAATTTAGTAAAGGTGGCAATCCATGATTTGTATTTAAGCTTGACTTTGCTCAATGAGCCAGGTAACACCCCCCAAACCCGTCTGCCCCTGATGTTGGTTAGGGGGTGAGCCAGAAGGACACATACGCTGCATGCAGTACCATCTGAGGTAAGTGGATAGTTTCTAACAATGTTGCGCTAAGTGATTTGAACAGCAATCAGTACTGTATTAAAGAATCTCCATGTCATAGCTGAATACCGAATCAGGTCGGGGGGAAAAAGTTCCAACTTGGTTTTACTTACCTGATATTCAACACTTAGCTCTTGAACTAAAGCAGGTAAGTTACCGAGATATTTAAATAGATATACTCTTTTAGATATTATCCTTAGCCTGGGGTATAATTAAGACTTTGAAAACCTCTGAGCATTTAAATGAGTTTTATAGATGTCATAACTGCATCTTAAGAGAAAGATACCACTTGGGTATCTGGCCACGGAACATGGAAAGAGCCTCCGCAGCCACCTGGGTCTTTCTTCAGAGAGTGCCGTCAATCCGTGCTTGTCTGCCGAGAGCCTCACCTGGCAGCGACACTCGGTGCAGCTGTCCACTGTCCACTCGTCTCCCGTCCTGTACTGGACCCCGTTGTGGTAGCAGAGTGGGGGCCTCCTCAGCTCGTTGGCCAGCTCTTTGTTCTCTTCAGTCTAAAAGCAGGAGAAAGGTTATTAGCATCGAGCCTCACTTTCATCTAGCCTTAGCATCACCGGGGACACACAGGCAGGGGCTCCTGCTAACAGGCGGGGGTTGGAGGCCACTGACCACTTTGCGGATACTGTCCTGCAGCGCGGTCACAATGGTGCGTAGACCCCTGAGCTCCAGGACCATGCTGGACAGCTCGTCACATGAGATGCCACAGATGGCCTGCAGGTCCTTTGTCTTGTGGCCAATGTAGTCGGTGCGGATGGCAGGGCTGGACCCATTCACCACGTTGTTGTCAAGGGTGAGAAAGACGCTGGTAGCTGCCAAGGAACAAAGGCACGCGGTGAGGAAAGTAGGAGAATATCTTCAAGTAGATGCTCCCACCAGCTGGCCCCTAGGCATCCTAACTGTCAAAGACATTTCATTTTGGGTGAGGGATGCAAAAGGAGGGGACCGTTGAGTGTGGAAAACTGAGGTCCCCTTTATATAAAGGTAACTATGTTACCTGGGGTAATTTATGCACAATCACCATTGCTTAAGTTTCTCAGCTTATTTTGGGTGGAATGCCCTCACTTTCCCATGTGCCCTAAAAACAGAGGGATGCTTACAGCTGGAGCAGCCTTTGTTCCTGAGGATGTCTTCTGGTGTGGTTCCAAAGACGAACCTTACATTCTGCAGCACCCCCTGTGAGCAGAGGATACACACTGTTTGTAGAGTGTTGGTGGGGGCCGGGGGGGTCAGTGGGACGGGGGACTGTTTATGCCAGAAGGAGCACACAACAGATGTTCTAAAATTTGAAAAGAACTCCCTTTCAAGATCACTGTGTCAAAATAACACACCAAATAACTGTTGGTGAATTGCCAAATTCACAGGCATTGCAAAATAACTTCAAAACTCTTAATTGTATCTTCTGCCAAGTCTGCAGTCTTTTACAAAGAATTCAGTAATCGGCCTACTTGGGGATACAGGAAATGGAATCTGATATTGAGACCGGAGGATACAATGACACTCTCCAGTGTCAAACAGTTAAATGTGGGAGTTTCAAAGCCACAGACCCAAAGATCTAGAGGTTTAAGCAAGGAAGACACTGCAGCAGCAAATAGCCACTATTTTAATCTTTTCTTTGGGATTGTTACATCCCCATGAGGAAGCAAATAACAAAGTGGTATTTATCCTGCTCATAAAAAGTATCCACTTCAAGCAATATTATAATTGGTGCAATACATTTGAAATTATTTTCTTGAGAAGAGCATAAAGAGTATTTAAAGTTTGAATGGGCAGTTACAGGAAAACCATTGTTTCCTTTAGAGGTTTTCAATGTCTGATCCCTAGAACACCAGCACCAACTTAACCTTGGAACCGGTTACAAATGTAAATTAGCAGGCCCCATCCCAGACCTACTGAATCCAAAACTGGAGGGGTGGGATGCAGCAGTATCCATTTTAGTAAGCTCTCCAGGTGATTCTGATGCTCCCTACTGTGTGAGAACCACTGCTTTAGTGCACAGGCAATATTTCCTATACTGGAACCCCTGCCTCTCCTGTTATCACCCTCCTGGTCATAAGCTGCCTAGCAGTCAACCCCATGGATCAGGAATCAAAGTGGCCTCACCTGGAAATTGTCATTGACACCTCCTTTGGCAATGCGGAGTCTGGCGATGCTGGCCAGGTCCCTGGTGAAGATGCTCTGGATGGGGACATCCAGCTCCGCATTCTCCATCTTCTCACAGTCGATGTACAGCTGGGCCCTGTCCTCCTGCACAAACAGGGTGATGCTCTTCCACTGGCCAGTCGCCAGGAGTGCTTCTTCCACCGACACCACGTGCTGCTTCCCCTGCACGGTCAGGCTCAGGTCCAGGGTGCCCGCCTTGCCGTTGGAGACCACGCTGAAGAGCTGGCCAGAGTGGTCTTTCCGCTCCACGGCCAGCAGGGTGCCTCGGGTCTTCTTCATTTGCCTCAGGGAGGCCAAGAGGAGGAAACCTTTCTCCGCCCGCACAGCATCCACTAGGTCTTGGAACTTCTTGTCAGGCACAGGGGGGATCAGGTTGGCATCCTCGATGCGGAAAGCTGGGCTAGAAGGGTCAGGACCCTTCACCAGTCGGCGCCCAGAGCCCTTGCGGGCAGCTCCGGTGAGTTCAAAGATGTCAAACACACTGTTGTCTCCCCCAGACTCTGTTAGACAAGAGCAGGACACAGGGTGAGCCCTCTGGGTTTGGTGTGGGGTGGAGGCTCAGCTCTGGGGGGCGGGGGTGAGGCCGAGGGCTGGAATGAAAGCCCTTGACAGCCACTGGAAGAGCTAAATAAACGCCCCAGTCACAGGGAACCGGCATCCTGAGGTCTGGTCAGGGCTCAGGGGAGAAGCGGCTGAGAGGAGTGCACGGGGTGGGGGGACCGCACCTGGGGTAACCCGACCTCCTCCTCGTTCCTCCCCCACACAAGGTATTATGCAGACTCACCTGGAATGCGGTTGGAGCCGCAGACGTGCAACAGGAGCAGGACAGCGAGTCCCCAGGCCAGCCCCATGGCGGAGCTATCTGTGCCCAGCAAGGAGCCTGCAGCACGGAGCACAGAGCGCAGGGTCAGAGGCTGCCAAACAGGGAGTGTGGGCATAACCTGGCTGGCCTTGGGGCTGGGGCCCTGGGGATCCCCCTTTGGGCCCACATTTGCTGGAAGGAAGGGCAACCGTATTTACTTTGGAGAAAGCATCAGGAAGAAAGTAATAAGAGTTGAGGGGAGATTACCGATTTAAAAGAGGTGTTGGGGGCAAGACCAGCCACTGGGGAGGGGCTTGAGAAGTTAAGGGTAAACACTGAACCAGGAGATGTAGTTTAGGGGCGCAGGGAGGCACAGTCCTTTTCCAGAGGACTGGTAGGACTTGGGGAAAAGAAGAAACTCTTGGGGTGTCCTGGTGGGTTACACTGTGAACCCCAAGGCTGGAGAGGATGGCTCTGGAGCCCTTCCACAAGAAGAGCCCCAGAGGCTGGGAGCGACAGCACGGGGAAGGCAGAAAGTATTGAGATCCGGGGTCCCGGAGGCGCTGAAGCCTGGGAGCTCCAGGTGGCTGGCCAGGGCAGCACTCTTCCGCGGCGGCCGCCCGGGACTCCTTACCTGTGCGGACGCGGATGCAGCGGCCGGGGCCGGCGACAAACGCGCAGCAACGGGATGGAGAGCTGGAGAGGCGCGGGGTGGAGGCCGTGGATTCGGAGGCTGCGGCTGGGAGAGATCTCCAGGATGGGCTCTCAGCGGCCGGCCCGAGTGCAGTGGCTGGCGAAGCGAGGAGCCGCGCGCTTTTAAAGGGGCGCTCACATTCCTGGGGTTTCCTCTGACCAATGGGAGGCCGCGGGGCAGGAAGCGGGAGGGGGGCCAGTCTGGGTTCCTCTCTCCGCCCCCCGCTGCCTGGCGCACAACTTTCCAGCTAGAAGGTGAAGGGGGGCGGCGGGGGTCGGGGCCTAGGAGCACTGGAACTTCTCAGAAAAATAGGTGCCCGCCCACGCGGCCTTGGCGCTCACGGGCTCAGCACTCTGGCTCTGGCGCCGAGCGGCCCCAAGCCCTGTGCGCGCATCCCGAGCCGACGGGGCCCTAGCCACCCGAACCAAGACCCTTAGAGAGGCTTTCAGGCAAACTCCCCTTGAATGCCTGCGCGACGGCTGAAGGGTGGACACTTGGGGAGAGAAACCGTTTGTACAGAAAAAATTAAGCCCAACGGGGTAAATGGGACCAAGTAGCTGAAATGGGATCAGTAGCTGAAGGAGTTCCCTCTTGGGTACTTGTTGACCCTCGTCCATCCATTCAGGTGGGGTGGGGACCACGGGACCCGCTTAGCGCCGCGCCCCTTCCCTCGCCCCACGCCTGCCTTCCGCCTGCCCCCCAGTGGACGTGAGTGGGTGTCGCACTGGCCAGCAGTGTGGTCACCGGGCTCGGCTTCCCACGCGCGTCGGGGCAGCCTTTCCGCAGGGGCTTGCCGCCCGAGTCCCCGCCAAAGTGCCATCTCCCAATTGCTGCGGCGCTTCCACGGCTGGCCGCTTGGGGGCGATGTGCGAATTCTGATCAAGGGGACGCGAGCGGACTGCTTCTTTCTAGTCAGGAATGTTAAGGAAACTTATTCTTACCCACTTTCCTAAAGCCAAATTGGAAATTGTGTCTTGAAAAACAGCTTTTTGTGCCCACTCGTGCTGCTTAACGTGACTCCTGGTTGGCGGGTTTGCAGCACCATCTGGCTCCAGGGTCTTGAACTATTTACAGAATAGACTCGTGGAGTAATAAATTACCTTCTTCCTATCATTTTATTTCCCACTCCCCCCGACACCCCCCCCCCCGCCCCCCACCCCCCCCCGCTCCTTGAACGTTCTTTTCATTTTTAGGCTCCCGAAACTGAGGTGTGGGTTACATTTCTGTGGCTGCACCAACTGCCATGAGTGCTGCCGCTTGCTTAATGCTTTCTGTCATTGGAAGTCTGGTGTCCAAGCCACCGTCCGTCCCAAGCCAGCATGACTCCAGCTGCCTGGAATTCCATTCATCTCTTCGGCTGGGACGTCAGCAGCCACACTTCCCCTGTTGTGATCCCAGAATATCAGGCTGGCCCTGGGACCCAGGGTGCAGGTAGTAGCTTCTCCAAATAAGGATCTCAGCCACTGGCCAGGGGAAGCCCTAGGGTTCACTTCCCCCCTTAGCATTCACACCTGGCCAGATTCCCAACACCCACACGTGGGTAAACATTCGTCTGACTGGCAATTTCACTTTTCTTGTGTGGGAGTGTTGTGTGACAAGGGGCATGTGGGTGACGGAGTGTTTTCTAGTTACTCAGTACACAGCAAACACCTCTAGAAGATGACAAGTATGTTCCTAGGTTTGTTGCTTAAGTAGTTACTAAACCTGACAGATAGATTTCACATGCTCGGAGACAGAAGTAAGAGCCTCTATTGGATGATTAGTCAAATCAGATTCCTGTCGTGAAAGTCATAGGTAATGATTCATCAAACCGATCGGACAATTCCAGAGTCAGCAGCCATATAGGCCCCTCCCCTTCTTCCTAGCATCCTGTTAGCTCCTTGAAAGGTGACTTTTCTTTCTTTTTTTTTTCACTTGCTACTGATAATACCAGGTACTTAGGAACAGTTTTCAGAAGATGGCCTGATGGTCCCCTGCTCCTCTGGCCTATTTGTTAATTTTATATAGATGCATGGAGGGTTTGGGGGTCACAAGAGGCTCACAAAAGCAGGATACATTGCCCCTTTTAGATCATTTCCTCCTGTAGGCTTAGCTGTAAGGACAGAGCAGAAGCTTACTAGAATGACCCTTCAGGCTAGCCACTTCCAGGACTGAAGGACTGTAGGCATTCCTCTGGACTTTTCTTGGAACTTGGCTTCTTCCAACAAAAGAAGAAGAAATCTACAATCTGTTACATACCCTGCAAATAGGAAGGTGATCTGTATGGTAGCAGGGAGGAGCTTTCATGTCAGAGAAAGCTCACGGAGGCACTCCAACACAGAGGCCTTGCCCAAACTGTGGTACTCCAGTTTTTCTGGTGGAAAGGAAGGATTGAGGGGAAAGGGTGGCTGGGTCACTGATTGGAGTGCAGCCACATTCCTGCTGGTCAACGTGTGCTGAAAATATTCCTCAGAAACCTAAATACTTCTTGAAGAAGCAGGATGGGAAAAGGGGAAAGAAAAACTATACCTTTAATATGGGTGATATTTTCCTCTTGTGTGTGTGTATCCTTGACCTGCAAGTTCTGGGATTTCAGGCCAATAATCTGACATGGACTCAAGGGATGGGCCTTCCAGGGACAGGATCTGGTTCTTGCTTTGCTAAGTTGTCATCATTGAGGATTACATATTTAAAATAAAGTTGTTAAGTATATGACATCTATAGGATTTTATTTTTCTAAGTTCCCCCTAATTGGATATGGAATTGATCTAAAATCATTGCCCGTGAATAGGAGGAACAGGACTGTCAGTAATAGCTACCTTGAAAACTGCATGTCATTAAAAAGAGCAGGATAATTGAGGAAAAAATTGCTTATCTAGCAAAGAGAAGCAAGGTGTGCTGTATTTTGTGTAGGAATTTTTAAAAAATGCTAGAAATGTTCAGCATTTTTATTAGTAATTTCCTAGAAGTGAACAGCAGCCAACTATTGTATTCTAGAATAGACCAAAATCCTAGCATCTCTAAAATGAAGACATCAGAGATTCATTCCCTCTGTATATTTTCCCTAGATCGTGGTTCAGAGTTGCTTTAGTTCAGCCACCTGGATGGTCAGAGCCAGAGGGAAGTTACCAACAGGTGTTTATTATCTTTCAATCAAACATCAACTCAGGCTTCCCTCTCCTTCAGGAGATGTTCTCCTGAAACTTTAAATTGGTTTGTTTCTTCTTTGGAAACATGCGTTCTCCTTACCACACTACTCATTGCCCTCCATTCTTTAGTTTTTCAAAATAGATTTTATTTTCAAATGTGTAAGGACTAGAATGTAAGTATCCAAAGGTTTGGGCTTGGAAAGAGCTCCAATATTTGAATTTCCAAATCCCTTTATACTCAGCTTATGGCCCAGAAAGACTGGAAACTCACCACCTCCCAGACCAGTTCCAGCATTTCCTGCAGTTATGCCTGAACTCCTGGGGTAGAAGAGGTGATAGACCCCCCCAAAAACATTGTACCCCTCCCCCACAGAATTGAAGCAATACTCTTGCGGAATTGATCTCAGTGGGAAGAGGTAGGACTATTGCTTTAATGCCTCTGTCTCCCTCTTCCCAGCCAAGTTCTGGCCAATGAGAGTTTTGCTGAAGGCTTCTGGGAAAACATTCTTACTTGGAAGAAAGAGCCATGTGAAGTCAAGTTTTCTCCATCTCCATTTGAGTGTGAATGCTGGCAAGCCGTGTTGGTTGCTACTAGGGGAACCAGACTTAATATGAGACCAACGCTGGAGAAGGAGGAGCAGAGAGATGAACAGAACTGTAAGTCAGAGCACATTTTTGAGCTGCCAACCTTAAAGGCCATGATACCTCCAGATTTCTCTGGATATGTGTTTATTGTATGTGTGTGTGTGTGTGACTCAGTCATGTCCAACTCTTTGCAACCCCATGGACTGTAGCCAGCCAGGCTCCTTTGTCCAAGGAGTTCTCCTGGCAAGAATATTGGAGTGGGTTGCTGTGCCCTTCTCCAGGGGATCTTCCTGACCCAGGGATTGAACCCAGGTCTCCTGCATTGCAGGCAGATGCTTTACTGTCAGAGCTACTAGGGAAGCTTATTAGTTAGGCCAAGTTGTTGTCTTTCTGTTACTTAGAGCCACAAATATTGTAACTCATGAAGCTTTTAAATTCCCTCTGCTTAGGATGTCTTTTCACACACTTTGTTTTAACCTTTCTGAATTTTTTAGGGTAAAAGAAATAAGAACAGGTCATAGGATAAAAATGTTTTCAAAGACTCTTCACGTATATTATTAAGGTGCTTTCCAGAAAAGCTGCACTGTTCTCTCTCTCCCTGTCCTTTTGCCAGCAGTCTCTGCTAGCCCCAAACATGACTCA